TTGCAAGAGAGCACCACCAGTGACACTTGCAGAGAGCGAGATACAGCTCTGCAGGGAGAGGCTCCCTGAGGAGTGGCAACTGGGCAAGACTATCTCTTTTGGCAAGTGCATGGAGCAGCAAAGAAGTCACTGTTTTACTGCTGCTTTATTATAAAAAAATTGAGTTATTTGTAGAGTCAACCAGCTCTACAAATAATAATCAGCTCTACAATCAAGGCGCATAGAGGACTGGTGGATGTGCTTGGCCTCCTCCTCTTACACTGGGTTGCCGTGCAAGCACAATATGCGACCTGCTATCAGCTACTGTGAGATCTGTAGGGGAAAGGACATGTCAGGCATTAACTTAACCCGGGGCCTGACATACTGACTCTCTGAAGGGTGCAATACAAGGTGCCAATTGTCTTAAAAGTGTCAATGACAGCCTGCCTCAGGCTATGTGTGCACCACAGAGAGCTGACCATCTCCTGCGTGGCCCATGCCATGACTGAATAAAAACCATCTGAAAACCTGTAAGTGGGACTTCTTTGACCACATCTCAGTTCATCAAGGTAATTGAGAGATGCCAAGACAGCCTCTGCTAAATGGGATGCAGATGGACAGTCCATCCAAAGCATAAGCAAATATTACCCTCAGACACTGTCCAATAGCTGCTGAGCAACCAGAACATATTAAATGTAAAAATATGAAGATACAAATGCTGGAAAGAGCTGCTTTTTCTGCTGCTTAGTATCTCCTTGATCATGTCAACAGTAGGGAAGAGGGGCAAATACCATGTATCGGTTGAGGCACAAAGGGCAGCAGAGTCCTTGCTCACTTATTTCTTGGGACAAACATGATAAGGAGCAGATTTTAACCTGTTTGTCTTGCTTTGAAGTACTACTGCTTTTGAATTTCAAGAGCATTTTTTCTCCCAGGTCCAATGCCCTAACCAGGCAAAGTGACAAAAGAGCACTGCTGGTGACTGCGTATGGATAGCCCATTCTGATCAAAATTTTCAGCTGCTTACAGGCTGATTCTGCAACCACTTTTGTGCTACCATTCGGTGTAGAAAAAAAACCAGGCAAATTAACCAACGGTTTATAGTTACAGACTACTCTCTGGAGAAGTTGTACTTCCCTGTCCATGACTACTGGCAGAGCCAGAACTCTTTTCTTCCATGAGCTTATTTACTTTGGATGTTTTAAACCATCTTGCCTGTCTTGACAAAGTAGTTTTTCCCATTATGGCAGCTAGCCTTATTTGGAAACTGAGCAGTTATCAGGTATTCAACTCCTGTACCTGTGTGTCAAATGGTTATAGTGATCATGTTGCTGTAGACATTTGAGGTGTAGAGTGTACAGAGAAGGCAAATATATTCGATGGGAGAACACACCAAAAATACCTTCATGCCTCTCTCCTTGAGGAGCTGGGGCAACAAAACATTTGTTGAGAAAATCTTGGACATTATGCAGAAGCTGGCCATCTTAGCAGGGTCAGCTGTGTCCTTCCTTGACATGCTCCACATAGGAGAAATACACTGAGCCGGAGTATACAAAGAAGTGTGGGTGTCCAGGAAGGCTCTTCATGGAATACCCAAAGACTTGCTTGACCAGCTGCTGTCCAATAGCTGGAACTCTAATGTGACTATGTGGAAATTTGAGAATAAGAGAACATTCACAGCTCTTTACCCACAAAACCTGTACCCTCAGGCAGTGATGGTTTACTAAATATGGATAATATACAAACTGCAGCAGCCTAGCTCACAGAATAATGAACACTGAAGAAGGTAAGAGGAAAGCTCCTTACTATTTTTAGATTTTCCTACTCTCATCACTGCTATAACATCCTTATTTTGACCTAGGAAACTGAAAGCCATTCCGGTTATCAGGCTCTGCATGTACTTGCTTGCAGAACAAACAACACTGCTAAGGGTAAAGTAGCTCCCTTTCCCTTTCACAGAGGGTACACTTTACTGCTGTATGCTCTGTCACTTAATATGTACAAATTTGGATTTCTATTATCCACTCCTATGGCCTTTACAGATGCCAGATTTGGGTTTTTTACTGCTCATGAAGTCTATTATTCGATAAAGTGTAACAGCTTTTTACAATTGAATTATATTTTATATTGTGCATTATGATTGTCTAACAGACCATGAATGTTCCTGCAGACAGATTCCGTAGTTTATTCAACTGCCACAGTAAAAAAGTAGGTATGGAAGATCTATGAGAATGGCCTGTGCATGTACCATGGGCCTTGTTGCCATGACCTGTGGAGAATGAAAGTTAAAAGCTGACTCTCAATCATCCCTTAAATCCTACTGGCTGGTTTAAATAAATTTTTGACTACTTGAATACTCTGGGGTCTGACTTACGGCCCAGGAAACATGTAATTCCCAGCTGTTCCTCTAATCTCTTCCTCTGCCATGCCCATCCTCAGACCTCTAATTAATCTCAATGCTGTTACTTTAAATCTTTACGTCAAAATGAGGTCTTTAGCAAAATGTACTTTCTCCTCGGAGACTTTCTCTCCTCCTCCACATGTATGTGTAAACTTCAGTTTCACCTAGGTAGAGAAATAGATGTGGCTGTGCTTTGAAAAAATAGAAGCTATTAACCACACCACTCTTTGGACTTCAGGGACATATTTCTGCATTTTGGCAGACCAAAACACCTTTCATTACTATTTGGCTCTTGAAAGGTAAACAGAAATTTTTAGGTTTGTTCTTTCATGGAAAAAATCTGTTTCAAATCCCTCTTAATAGAATGACCATCCCGCAAACTGGCTTTGCTTGGAATTATCTTATTTTAGCAATGTCAGATGGTCACCCTTCATGAGGAACTCCTGTTTCACTGCACAGATGCTGTAATGAGTTGTTGCATATCTTTCAGACCTTCAGCAGATAGCCCAGTTTCCACTTTTCCCTTCATGCTTGGTGGGAGTACTGTGTTAGAGTGCTTTCTGCACTGACAGCGCCCTACCGGTAAGAAGAGGAGAAATGTCTGGGTTTTCTGGGACTGATACACTTTTTTGCAATCCCTGGTAACACAAGGCTCTTTCCTCTGCTATATCCATGGACGGTTGCTAACAATGGACTGTAGTGGGAACTGTTTGCTCACTCCCAGATCACAGCATTATGACTAGGTCATATTTTCCTGTAATATTTTGGGATCTTTACCTTCACTCGGCTGTGAGAATCACCTGACATGATGTTACAGCTAGGTTTATTAAAAATGTATTATGCTTTGCTGAACATATTCATAGCGTTGTTTTTTTCTCTCTTTTTTTTTGGTGTTTGGCTCTATTTACCTAATAGAGCTAGGTCACATTAATGTGTAAATTCAAAAGAACTGCATGAGAAATAGCTTTAGGCTTGAACTCAGATTGCTTTGGTACAGCCTTGTAAGTTAACCCAAAAGCTTAAATAATTCAATTTTTAATCAGGTTTTACTTCAAAAAATAAAGGTTGACTTACTGCAGGTAGAGAACCATTGGTCTACTCAATGTTTCAAAGTGCAATGAATCAAAAGGTCATGACAAAAGGCAGTGACTGAAAGATAACTTTTTGAAGGCAACAGTGGGAGTGTCTCATGCAATATATATCACCAACAGCTCAAAGACGCTGTTTGGGTTCAGCTGGCAAGCTGGACTATTGCATGCCTCTTTGAAGTTTGTGGGGTAAGTATTTCTCCAAGTAAAATATAATTTCTAATTTGTATTCTTTATTATGGAAAAAAAGGTGATATTATGTTTAAGAACTTAATGGTAAATATAAGACAGGTATATGGAAAGACAGCATATAAAGTGATTTTACCTTGCCTTATCAATATATCATATACTGTTTGAGTGTCAAATACTTTTAGATATGTGAAATATGAGTATTTGTGCACCATAGCTTTGAGTTGAAATAGCTCTTTTTCACTGAAAATCTGTTGCGCATTAAAACTGTTCTTTTATAATTTTAATAATTGTGAATAAGAGTATTTTCCTTTTCTCAATCTCACTCTCTGGAGGGCCCAGGTAAGGTACAAGGTGATGATTCATGGAGTCTGTGGTTCCACAGTCATTAGAGTCAGAGGCCTCTCACGTCACATAATCAACCACGCCTGCTCCAAACTGTGGATATGCTCTATTCCTTCAACTTTAACTGTTTTAGAGATACAAAAAAAAAATTATTAAACTTTCTTAGCCTTCAATTCAAAAAAGAGAGCAACTGCATGTTTCAATGAATATCTTTAACATGTCACATACATTTGCATCTACAGGACTTGCACCTGACTGAGGAAATGCAGTTCTATGCTGTTTCAAGCTGTACTGCCAAACCCCATCTGTAGTGTATACACACACACACACACACACATATATATATACATACTTATATATATATATATATACATACTTGTGCTTTTTCTCAACAAAAATCGTCAGTGTAGATTAAATGTCTCAAACAGGACTACAGGAAAGAAACCCCTCTAAATTTATATTTCAGTGTCTAAGCAACTGGCTGGGTTTACCAAGCAACTTACTCTTATTATTCCTATAAGTTACAGGAAAGCAACTTCCAAGTTTGTGGCTGGTAGAACTAAGCTTGGTAAGAAATACACTAGGAAATGTAGTGAGTGGACTACATTTGATTTAAAGATCCAGAGCATTCTCCAGAGTAGCCACAGAAGAAATGAAATATGAAGCTTTCATTGTCTCAAGCATAATTCAGAGTCCTCTGGATGGCCATAGGGAAACTTATCCATTCCATATTATATTTATCATACTGAATCATGGCTGAAAGATCTATTTCCTAAAAGGCAAGCACAAGTCTTGTTGATGAGATAGAACCTTACTGAAAGAAAACAAATGCGTTTCAGATGTAAAAATATTTCTAGCAATCACAGGATTTGTGGGCTTCACATCATTCACTGGTTCAGCATCACAAACCCAGCAATGAACTAACAGTTTCTGGGCTATTGGCAGTACTTTTTAAAACAAGCGCTGCATATCACCATTATACAGTAATTTTTCTGTTTGCTTTAGATAACACAGGTTTCACAATGGGCTCCATCAGTGCAGCAAATGCGGAATTTTGTTTTGATGTATTCAAAGAGCTGAGGGTTCACCACACCAGTGACAACATCTTTTATTGCCCCCTGAGCATGATGGCAGCCTTGGCCATGGTCTATCTGGGAGCAAGAGGTAACACTGAGTATCAGATGGAGAAGGTAAGTTACATAAATGGGTACAAACTCTCTTTGATCCCATTCAAAAGGCAGCAGATTACATCTGTGTGATTCCAGTTGAGGGGAGCAAGTCACATAGTCACCTTTGGCACTGGATTCAAACCTGCCTAGAAAAAGAATGGTTTTCCAAACTGTGAGGTTTGAATCTGGAGCTGAGTTTTTGCTTACAACTCTGTTTCCCCATGAAGGGCAAGAGCAACCTTTGGTTTTCACAAAGAAAGAGCAATCTTGGAGATTGGCTAAGGCCAATCTCTTGTGTCAGCTAATATTTTCTCACAGGTCTGATTCCTCCCAGTTGGGAAGGACAACTTGAAACATACAAAAGATTAAACATTCAGAAAACAAGAGTCACAATTATAAATACAGTGCACTAAGTTTGTAGCTGATTATAGACTGAATGGCACTGAAGAGATCTATGCTGAAAATCATAGTCACAAATTTTCAGTGTGGCACCTGGTTTAAAGCTCACATTAAATTTCTCAGTTCATCTATGTGCTAATCAGACCTGGTTAGTCAAAACCTACAGTTTTAACACAAACATCAGTGACTCTCAGTGGACTTTACATACCTAGTTTCTACTTTCAATTGCAGGTTCTTCATTTTGACAAAATTGCGGGACTTGGAAGCATCCAGACCAAGGTACAGAAATCTAAGGTACATTAATTTCTCTTTCACATTTTTCTCCTGAGAATAGACTGTTCTGATTGTGCTTTTAGTAGGTTCAACTTCTTCCTTTGTAATTTTCTTAATTTGAGAGATGTAAGTTAAAAAAATAATGGAACAAACCACCAAAATCCAAAGAACAACAGCAGCAAAACAAACACCAAGCAAATAAAAAAATACGCACACAAACAAACAAAATCAGAAAAAGAAGGCAGGCTGTACATATTGCACCAGAAAAAGTGACAGGAGCAGATAGGATGCTTTGGGCACGTTCTTGTGTAAATGAGCTTCTGCACACCAGCAGGTGCTGCTGGGGGACAGTAGTCGAAAGGGGCTCAGCACCTAAAGCCAGGGTACAGCAGGCAGACTTGCAGCTGAGACTTCAGAGTGGGACAGGAAAATACTTCAGCAGAAAAGAGCCCAGAATTCTCAAAGGATGGAAAATAATCATGCTTTTACAAAAGCTACAGGGACTTTTCCAGCCTACTATTGTCACTGCCATTCCAAGAGTACCATGAGGCATTCCAATACCTTGATAGCACCTGTATGCTTTCATCCATGTTAATCTGCTACCTCTGTAAAGATAACTAAGGCCATGGAGGCTGGGCTGAACCCATCCACTTGGGATCCAAAGCACAAGATGGGACTTAAAAAGAGCAAGCCTTTTTTTTTTTTTTTTTTTAATAAAGGTAGTATTAGCTAGAGCATTTAGGGACCGGTTAAACAAGCACTTCAACACAATTATTCTCATAAAATGAAGTCCCAGCTGCTGTTTATCATTGTGCAGTTTTCTTATGTGCTTTTAGCCTGTGTCACCTGAAACACTATTCTTGACACATTTTTTCACTATATTATGAGACATTTCCTGACTCCCTTTTCATTTAGCTCTCTTCTTCTACCTGCAGCTTCTACAGAAAGCTGCCATGAAAACGCAAGCAGCAGATGTGAACTAGAGGCTCTATATCTGTGATAAATCACCAATTGCGATAATGGACACCAGCATTTTTTTTTTTTGCCACCTCATTCCTGAGCTATATATTTACAGATGCTTCAGTGAGGTTTTCTGCTTGTTATCATCACCTAGAATGAGTGCCTTCATATGCTATGAATGAATTGCAAATCATTAGTTGCTATTATATTGAACATCCCTCCCATGGAACTCTCACACTGTATTATTGTATGTTCATTTGCAAATGCTCAAACATTGTGTGTTTTCAGATGTTATTTGTAGGTTACAAATAACCCTCTTTCTAGTAAAATAACCCTCTACTTTTTCATCTTCTTATCAATTCAGTGTGGCAAGTCTGTGAATATTCACCTTCTGTTTAAAGAAATTCTCTCTGATATCACTGCACCAAAAGCCAATTATTCACTCCACATTGCCAACAGACTCTATGCTGAAAAGACAAGTGCAATCCTACCGGTAAGTGATTTCTTACTAAACCCTGTATAAACCTGTAATCCAGGAGGACTGGCCAGAGTAGGTAATTCGTTAATCCAATGGTCGCCACTGGTGTGGATTTGAATGGCTTTTCCCTTTGCTGCTGCCCTGGCAATAGTCTGAAAGGAAAGTAATTTGAGGCAAAAAAATACGGCCCTATTAAAAAATGAATGGAGTAATAAACAAAATTATTTGGTAATGTAATTCCCCTCTCCCCACTTGCCCCCTACTGGCTGTTTTTTTGGTTTTTTGTTTTTTTTTTTTTCCAAGAAATAATTTGACTTTGGCATATTTCTTCACTTGAAAGCCTCACCTAAAAAACATCTTCTGAGGGTGTCAAACTCTTTTTTTCGTATTCTCAAAAGAAAAGATAAAAAATATTCTAAATCAAAGAAACTTCTTACCTTAAAAATAAGGAAAAATCTTCTTTAAAAAAAGGAAGTAGGCATCAAGATAATAAAACAGTCTGAAAGGAACCTGAAAACAGGGGGTTTGGATCAGGCTTTCTTCCAGAAAATATTTAAACATTTTTAACATAAATTCTTAACAGGTCAAGTAACAAAAAATTCAGAACTGAAAATGTCCTGGACTAGAAGAATTTTTCTGGTCCAGTTTTAACAGATTCTTCCAGGAAGTAAGCAATGAGAACAGCTTAACCATGACATCACTATAAAAACCCTATTAGCCATATTTTATTTCACTTTCATAGTCTTTTTTGAAGAAATTACTATTTTGGTGGCTACAATTGATGTCTTTGCAGATCTATGTAAAATGTGTGAAGAAACTGTACAGGGCTGGTCTGGAAACGGTCAACTTCAAAACAGCATCAAATCAAGCCAGACAGCGCATTAATTCCTGGGTGAAAAATCAGACAAATGGTAAAGTCAGACAAGATTATGAAATATATTTCCCTCTGACAACTGTATTTTACCACCTTCTGGAAAGACTAAACATTAGAGGAGAAATTTCCTCTTCATTAGCGGATATTTCCTGTGGAAAGTGATGACTCCATTGCACCTGTATGGCAGTGACAGTATGTTTTAAACATATATGGCAAAGGCAGAGATGCCAGGATATGCAAACTTTATATTCATGCTTTTGTGTCTGGAGAGCTTAATTTACCCAAGATTAGTTCCAGCTTCTCCAGAATATGGGCATAATTATACAAGGATATGCTGTATGGGTAGAAAGTGAGCTTCCAGGGCAGAAAGTAATGCACACTAAGCTGATGGTGGGAAATGAATGATTGAGAAGCTTGTGTATGTTCATCATGTTAAGGTAGGAGGAAAATCCAAGAAAAATTGTGAGAAGTAGATACAGTGAGAAAGAGAAAATCTATATTGGTGCTCTGTCTCCTTTCCCTTATCTTCTACATAAATCTTTTTGTCAAATCACTGGTTAGAAACATCCCTGGGGATCTATAACACTCTTGAACCTACCTGTCTTCTTTCCATGTGACAATTTGCAGTGTGTTAAACCATCCTCATGAACCTGAAATCCATGTGTAGACCCTAGACGCAGAGAAAGTTAAGTCAAGCAGCAGCATGTTGACTGACCTCTAAAATGAAAGATTACTGCTATGACTTACCACTCTGTGCCCTGCTTCTTTCTTAAAGGCCGTATCCAAGAGTTCCTTGAACCAGGCTCTGTCGATCTCCACACTGTGCTGGTCCTTGTGAATGCCATTTACTTCAAAGGGATCTGGAGGAGTGCGTTTAAAGAAGAAGACACTCGGGAAGTGCCCTTCAGTGTGACAGAGGTGGGGGGCAGCTTCTGACCAGGGAGACAGGCTATTGACTTGCACAAACAGTGGGCTGGGTGTTATAAATACAACATTCTCTGGTCATCAGCCAAGCTGGGCCCCTCACATTCAGATTTGCAAGAGCCGTGCCTGAGCAGAGGTAAATGGAGACACAGCTCTTCTTCAAGGCAGCATACTTGAAGATCAAACTCTGTCCCTTTCAAAGGGCTTGTACATTTGACTGACCAAAAAAAAAAACAAATTGCTCCCTAGTCACATCATCTCACGTTTCTGTTTTTGCAGCAAGACAGCAGACCTGTGCAAATGATGTTTCAGAACAGTACCTTCAAAGTGGGAAGAGTTGCTGCAGACAAAATTAAGGTCCTGGAGCTTCCATATACCAGTGAAGAGCTGAGCCTGTTGGTGCTGTTGCCTGATGACATCTCTGGCCTGGAACAGGTATGACCCTGGCAGGGGAAGCAGAAGAGGTATCACTTCAGTTGGACTTGGCTGCTGTCAGTCTTCTTGATGTCCCTTTACATCTCAGTTGCCCACACAACAGCTGTGCTGGGCTGGCAGGGGAGCAGAAAAGCCACCCAGGTGTTACCAGGTGCTCAGGCAGAGACTGTCCTCTTAGGAGAGCCCTGAACTCAGTTTTATAAAATAAAGGTAGGGCAGTGTAGTGCTGCTGTAGCCCCACAAAAGAGGATGCATATTTACCAGATTTTATTTGTTTTAAAACTGAGGTAATTTCACACACACAGTGTCCTCCCCTCCACCCCCCGCCCCCAGTTGTAAACTGTTGAGGAAACATTGCTAAAATTGTTGAGAATTAGACACTCTTTGAAGGAATCACTGATGAGTTTTTAAAAATAAAATCCTCATCAAACATCATAATTGGGCTGCTTTCAAAAATTACTGTGATTACACCATCATGGAATGAAAAATGAAGTTAGATAAAACATGAATAAAATATTCTTCGCTTAGAAATTGTGAAACCAATCTAGCTAAACAAACTCATCAAAACCACTTCTTCAGTTAAGACTTCAGAGAGTCCTATATATGGAGATGGAAAGGAAATGCATGGAAGATATTTGGAAATTAGGCATCAAGCAGAAAAGAGACTTAAGTCTAATTGGATGAATATCAACAGCAGAAATAGTCCATGAACATACAAGGACAGAACTTGAGAGTGGCATAGAAATAAAAGAAAACATCAAAACTACTTTTAGTCAGATTGAATAATTTTTTTCCAGATGCCTGAAAACTAGTAAAGGAAATGGTTTTATGCATTAAAGAAAAAAAGAGAAAAGTGGGACAAGTATGCAGTGAGGAAAGAATATGAACATAATCTACTGATTGTGCAATATGAAATGAAACTTTTGTCTCTTTCTTAAAAACAAAGTAAGCAAGAAAATGAGTGAAAGCAGAATGCTTACAGCAAAGAGAAAAAAATGGGCAGATGGAAGGGAGAAACAAAACTTGAAAAATTAATTTGATTCAATCACTTAAAATAAAGCTATCAGCGTGTTAAAAATTTACCTATCTGTACCCAAGAAAGGGGAAAAGCAATGCAGTCTGCATTATATGAACAATTACTCAGCAATATTTTTGAATTATAAAATAGAATTACTAAAGATGTAGAAGAGTTTGCATTTGTTAGGCACTATCAACTGTAGGTAAATTTTTATAACCTATTTTTTTGCAATCTTTTTCACCAGCTGACTAATTTGCTAGGCTGTGAAATTGTTGTGTTGTGCTTTATGAGCCACAAGATCAATTGGACAAAAGGAGATATATAAAGTTGATAAAGAACTGAGTAAGAGGACAGTGGCACAGGTAGTACTGGAGAAGGATGTCAATAGGGTGACTGCAAGAACCACTCTGGTTGGTTGGTTTTTTTTTATGGTAGCCTTGACTGAAATGAAGAATTTGCATTTGCATCCCAGGCATTTCATTCCCTGCCTCTCTTTGCAGCTCGAGAACAAAATCAACTTTGATAAACTCACAGAGTGGACCAGTTCCAGTGTGATGGAGGAGAAGAGGGTGAAAGTGTACCTCCCACGCATGAAGATTGAGGAAAAATATAACCTCACATCTGTCCTAACAGCCCTGGGTATGACTGACTTGTTCAGCCCCTCGGCCAATCTCTCTGGCATCTCTTCAGCAGAGAACCTGAAGATATCTGAGGCCATCCACGAGGCGTACATGGAAGTCACTGAGGAGGGCACTGAGGCGACTGGCCCAGCTGTTGTGACAGAAGATATTCAAGATTCCTCTGAGTCTGAAGAGTTTAGAGCTGACCACCCATTCCTTTTCTTGATCAGACACAATCCAAGCAACATGATCCTTTTCTTTGGTAGATATTGTTCACCCTAAAGAAAGAAAGAGTCTGAAACAGTGCTTGTCTTCCCCTCAGAAACAGTCCCCCTTTACTCTACTATTGTAGTATAATCTTATCTCTTCAACATTTTCTCCAAATGGAAAGGCTAATCTAAGACATGCCCTTTCAGGAAACTTCCCTAGTAAAGACATACGTGCAGATGAGGAAACAGCTGCAAGCGTGCTTACTTATTTCTCTTCTCAGACTGGTTTCAGTGTTGCTTGAGCTAAGGGAAGACTGAGCCCACTGAGATTGGGGACCCTCACAAGCCAGGAAGGGGTCAAGTGATTTTCACTCAAGGAACTAGTTGCAGACATGACTGGGAAACCCGTTGGGAGTCCCTTACACAGAAGGACATCCCATCCCTGGTAGCATCCTGCTGACAAATCCATGTTGTTGTTCTTAAAACACAGGCTTTGAGATCTCCAGTCTGGAGGAGATACTTGTGGATAAGACTCTGCTATGCAGGTTATTAATTGGTGCCTATGTAAATTTTATTTTATTTATTTAGCTGTTGGGAAATGGTGTACGTCTCCATCATCACCAGATTGTCCTCTCACCATGAGTACTTCACATAATTCAGAATTTCTTTCAGAGGTTCTCCAAAGTGATAGAGAGTGCAAGGAGATCTAACTTACCTAGGCGCAGTTTCTCCTACACACTGTTTCTTCTACACACTGCCTTCTCACAGTGTGTAGATTTGAAGCCTGAAACATAGATATCTGGATGATCTGGATGATCCAGATGATCCAGGACTCAGAACTGCCAGGCAAAAGAGCTGAATTCTTGCTTAAAACACTTGAAGAACTTAAAATTTGAGAGTATTTTGATTTTTAGGAAAAGTCCTGGATTTTTGGGAAAAGTCCTGCAAGTGGTGTTAAAGAAACTGATTTCTCCACAAGGAATTTTGTGAAAAAAACATGGCTTTTAAAATAATCCCTGTCTCTGTTGGTCTTGCTTAGCAAGTAAACTTCAATTAGTCCCTGGAAAGCTCTCAGGTGTTGAAAACTCAAGTACATTATTATTCAATGAATGCAGCTGGGCTTCTTCATTCCTATGATAGTTCAAGGCTACATCTCTTGTTCTTAAGAAATACATGAGAATCCTAATATTCTCTGTCTTTTGTTCCTATGTGTCTATTGCCATCTCCAAATATGGATATATTGGCTCAATACTATGATCTGTTTTCGTTCTAATCATACATTATTGAGTTTGATGTATACAAACGATTTTTTTTGTTAACATAATAAAACAAAGTCACAAATGCTTGTCATGAAATTATGTTTATTTTCTTAATTTTCTGGACCACAAATCCTTAAAAAATATTATTACAGTGGTAAGTGTTGTGAGCAAAATAGGAATACGTATAAAATCCTCCTGTTTTTAGAATGAATAAAGCATGTAGATATGAAGTTTCCTAGGCATTTATGAAATGAGTGAATGCACACATTTCGAGTTTGATTACCCTGTGTAGCACAGATTACCAGGAAATAGCCTAATGAAATGGAAAACTAGTTTGTTCTTATGTATTTTTCAACACAATTTCAATGGCTATTAAAGATGCACTGACAATTAGTATGATAAATATTTCAAGGAACAACTATTCCATCAACTCTTCCATTTTAGATGGTGAAATCACCTGAAAAATCATATCACTCACAAGGTATAAGAAAGAATAAGTAAATTGATAACTATCAGGCAAAGCACTTCCCCACTGATTCCAATGGGATGAAGTTCAACAAGGCCAAGTGCCGGGTCCTGCACTTTGGCCACAACAACCCCCTGCAGCGCTACAGGCTGGGCACAGAGTGGCTGGAGAGCAGCCAGGCAGAAAGGGACCTGGGAGTTTGGATTGACAGAAGCTGAACATGAGCCAGCAGTGTGCCCAGGTGGCCAAGAAGGCCAATGGCATCCTGGTCTGGATCAGGAACAGTGTGGCCAGCAGGAGCAGGGAAGTGATTCTTCCCCTGTACTCAGTGCTGGTGAGGCCACACCTGGAGTGCTGCGTCTGTTCAGTTCTGGGCCCCTCAGTTCAGGAAGGATATTGAGGAGCTGGAACAGGTCCAGATAAGGGCAACAAGGCTGGTGAAGGGACTGGAGCTCAAGTCCTATGAGGAGAGGCTGAGGGAGCTGGGGTTGTTCAGCCTGGAGAAGAGGAGGCTCAGGGGTGACCTCATCACTCTCCACAACTTCCTGAAAGGAGATTGTAGCAGGTGGGGGTTGGTCTCTTCTCCCAGGCAGCTATCAGTAAGACAAGAGGGCATGGTCTCAAGTTCTGCCAGGGGAGGTTTAGGTTAGATGTTAGGAAGAAATTCTTTACAGAGAGGGTAATCAGACAGTGGAATGGGTTGCCTGGGGAAGGGGTGGATTCTCTGTCCCTGGAGGTTTTTAAGATGAGATTGGATGTGGCACTGAGTGCCATAGTCTAGTAACTGAGGTGGCAGTGGATCAAGGGTTGGACTTGATGATCTCCAAGGTCCTTTCCAACCTGACTGATTCTGTGATTCTATGGTTCTATTCTATGATTCTACAATTGTCCTGCTCTGCTCTGTGCTGGTGCTACCTCACCTTGAATATTGTGTGCAATTTGGGGCACCACAATATAAGAAAGATATAAAGCTGTTAGAGACTGTCCAAAGGAGGGCTGGTGAAGTGTCTGGAGGGGAAGCAATACGAAGAGCAGATGAGGTCACTTGATTTGTTCAGCCTGCAGAAGAGGAGACTGAGGGGAGACCTCATTGCAGTCTACAATTTCCTTGTGAAGGGAAGAGGAGGCACTGCTTTCTTTTCTGTGGTGACCAGTGACAGGATCTGAGGGAATGTCACGAAGTTGTCTCAGGTTTAGGTTACATATTAGGAAAAGGTTTTTCACCCAGAGGATGGTTGGGCACAAAAACAGACTTCCCAGGGAAGTGGTCACAGCACCAAGCCTGAGAGAGCTCAAGAAACATTTGGACAGTGCTCTCAGGCATATGATTCTTGGGGTGTCCTGTGCAGGGCCAGGAGCTGGAATTGAATGATCCTTGTGAGTCCCTTCCAAGTCAGGATATTCTATGAAATTCTATGAAATCCTGGTCGATCCCTTCCAATTCAGGGTATTCCATGATTTTATGATTCTATTTCCACATTAACACAGGATGCAGTGTGATAAAAGTGTATCTGTAGAGGAAAGAAGCTGGTACTCCATGTCTGACACCCACATTATTTGAATATCATCAGGATATTTTAAATTGTTTTTCATAGGTAAACCCAGTTATTTTACCAAGTATACTTTAATTTTTGTGCTTTAGAAATTAAAGCAGTGGTATGAACAGTTCCAAGAGATGCAAAATTTCAATTTTTAATCTCAAGGCTTATCTTAAGCAGTTTATTCACTTTCTGCATCTCTTGTAGCCAGAAGCATATGGCTTCTTGTAACCAGAAGCAGTTGATCGAGATTGTTAAATTTTAAAAAGCCTGTACACCTAAACAATAAGACTTGAAAAGGGTTTCATTTGTAAACTTTCCTTTCTATGATTATTAAACTGGAAAGTGCTTAAAGTACAAAGGTATGACTCAGTGACCAGTGTTGTTTCCTGAATGACAAAAAAAGTCAGTGTGAAAGAATGGGGAAAAGCAAAGGGGCCATGAGGCTTACAAGCAAATACAAAGCTTTCCCTTTCCCTAAAGGGAAAACAGGAGACAGCAAAAAGTGCAAATTCAGCAATACTGGACCAAACCTGTATCAAAACACGGATGGTTAGGATGTGGTCCTGTCCACCACAGGCTGGATAGAAGGCAAAATATTTAAAGGGCAGTGGAAAAGTGTTTGCCATGAAGTGGATGGCAGACCTGGACAGTGGAATGATGAATGCCTGCTGCAGCCTCTGAGCTCTCCAAAACACTGGAGAGATTTGGCAGGAGAATTCCTTCCTGTACCCCAGAGAGGCAGCGACTGTACTTCAGAATCCCTGTGCTCTCACCCGCCAAGCAAGCATGCAGTGGAAAGTTGCAGGTGCTCCAGAAAGAAAAGAAAAGAAAAGAAAAGAAAAGAAAAGAAAAGAAAAGAAAAGAAAAGAAAAGAAAAGAAAAGAAAAGAAAAGAAAAGAAAAGAAAAGAAAAGAAAAGAAAAGAAAAGAAAAGAAAAGAAAAGAAAAGAAAAGAAAAGAAAAGAAAAGAAAAGAAAAGAAAAGAAAAGAAAAGAAAAGAAAAGAAAAGAAAAGAAAAGAAAAGAAA